TCAACCCAAACGTAGTATGCCACTACTGCAATAGGGTAGGACATATAGCTCCCGTGTGTTTCACCAGACATAGGCACTTCACCTACAATGAAACACACAACGTATTTGGTGCTAATAAAAAGAAATCCTTTGGAAAAGGATATTCGAATCATAAACAATCTCCACAGGACAATGCACAAAAGAAACCTTATTATTTCTTCTACTTTGACGAAAAGAAGAATGTCCACATTCCGTTACCAGAACCGACACAAATCACACCGAGATATCGGCACTCCGTTCAGGTAGACTGGAACCCGCCAACCACGAGATCATTGGTTGGCCAAGGTAACTCCTAAACGATCATCTAATCGTGTGTGTGTGCGCGTTAGGAAACGAATTTTGGGTGTGTGTGTGCAATAAAGGTTAACTTACCCCCAAGGACCCATAGACATACTTTGGGTACCAAAGTGTTGTTTTTTTTGCAGGTACGCATCAAAGTGAGGAACTCAGGGGGAACCAGCGATGGGTGGTTTATCCCATCGCTGGGAAGGAAGTATTTTCTAACCAGTAGCCCTCTTCCCATCGCTGGGTGTTTGACACTTTTTTAAAAAAAAATATTTTTTAACGGATTTCCAGTAGCTGTCTTCCCATGGATGGGAGAACCTTACCATCGCTGGGAAGGCTACCTTCACTTTTTTCCTCCCTTTCCAGTACCTGTCTTCCCATCGATGGGAGAACCTTACCATCGCTGGGAAACCTGTTGTACTTCAAAAATCATAGCCGTTGGGCACCTCATTCAATGCCTAACAGCCATATTTTTAACACCAAGGGCCCAAATTCTCTTTTCCTATAAATATTAACCATCCTTGATCATTTTTAACACACAACTCGCATTCCTCTTGCATACTTTAAGCCTCTACTCACCTTCTAAACGCTTCAACAGTGGCTAGAGGAAAGTCAAGGACCAAAACCGGCGCCACGACATCTTCTTTATTTTCTCCTTATTAAATATGATTGTGTTTTTATCCGTTGTATTCTGCATTTCCCTTTTAAATGAATAAAAGTTTACTTTTAATTCTTTTTGTTAATGTCAAAAGGGGGAAGATATAAAGGTTATGCATAGATTGAGGGGGAACTATTTCTAAATTGCATTTATTAAGGGGGAACATTTTTTAAGTCTCAAATCAATCCTCCTATGCATAACCCC